CCTGGAAGTATGACCTAAGTCTTCTAACAGTTGTAACCAAGGCTAAGACAAGTTTCTCCATCTTTGTATATCTCTCCAATGCCTCCCTTAGAGCTCTGCTACAGTAATAAACTGGTTGCTAAGCTCTGTATCACTTTCTTACTAGTGTTGCATTGGTCGAGAAATTTGAGATAACAATGTAGAGAGTAAGTACTTCTCCTTCCAAAGGACTCACCAAAACAGGGGGTGAGCTCAGATAATCCTTCAAGGCTTTGAATACTTCTTCACACCGGGTATCCCATCGAAATGTTTTCTTTAAGACTTGAAAAAAGGGTTGACATTTATTGCTTGATCTAGACACAAAGCGACTCAAGGCGGCTATTCTCCCTATTAACCACTAGATCTCCCTTTTGTTGGAAGGTGGCTGCATATCTATTAATGCTTTAACTTTTTTTGGATTAGCTTCAATTCCTTTACTGTTGACTATAAAGCCCAGAAACTTTTCCAAAAATACACCAAAGGCACATTTAGCGAGGTTAAGTTTCATTTTATACTCCTTAAGGACCTGGAACAACTTCGCCAGATGTTCGATGTGAAGCTCGACCTTTAGTGATTTCACCAGCATATTGTCAATGTAGACCTCCATAGACACTCCAATTTACTTTTGGAATATTGGTTCACCAATCGCTGGTAAGTGGCTCCAACATTCTTTAATCCGAAAGGCATGACCTGGTAGTAGTACGACTCTGCTCAGTCACAAAGGAGGTCTTATTTTGGTCACGGGGATCCATTTTGATTTGATTGTACCTGAATAAGGCTTCCATAAAGCTGAGGAGCTTGTGTCCAGCGGTGACATCCACATCAGGTTAATTCAAAATAAGGGAAAACTATCTTTAGGGTAGGCTCGGTTGAGGTCGGTAAAATCGATTCAGAGGTGCCATTTTCCATTGGTCTTTTTAACGAGAACCACGTTTGAGAGCCAGGTGGGGTAATCTACCTCCCTGATGGCTTTGGCATGGAGAAGTTTTTTAACTTCCTCGTTGATTTCTTTTTAGCGTTCTAGGGTAAAACTTCTTTGCTTCTACTTAATGGGCTTTTAGGCGGGATTCACATTGAACTTGTGTGTGATGACTGAGGGGTTGATTCCCTTAATGTCTTTTGGTTTCTAGGCAAACACTTCCAAATTTATTTTTAGGAACTGGATGAGGTCTTTAATTTTGCTGCTCAGCTTAAACCAAACGTATACGAGGTGTTCTGACTCCTCATCAAGTTGTACAGGCTCCAGCTCTTCTGAAGGCATAGGTCTAATGTCTAGCTCGTCTCTCATGTCGAGCTCGTCCAACTAGATATTTTTGGCTTCTTTCTTTTTTATGGATGCCATGTAGCACTCTCGTGTTGCACACTAGTCTCCTCGGGCCATCCTAACTCCGTTTTCTATAGGAAACTTCATGACAAGGTGGTATGTAGAGGGTATGGCCCTCATGGCATTGAGGGATGGTATCCTAAATAGAATATTATATACTGAAGATACATCAACCACTAGAAACTTCACAAAAGTGATGGCCTAAGAATGAGGATCTCCTATAGTAAGCACGAGTTGGATTGATCACAAGGATAGCACCTTTTCTCCTAAGAACCCCATCAAATGAGCACTTACTGGCTCGAGTTTTTCCCTACCTATAACCATCTTGTCAAATACATGTGCAAAAGTAATGTCTGCGAAACTCCCATTATCAATCAGAACACGATGGACAGTTCTATTGGCAACGACAACTCTTACCACCAAGGGGTTATCGTAGGGATGTTGGTAGCCTTCTAAGTCTGAGGCCGAGACAGTGATAGCTTTGTTTAGCTGTGGTGCTTTGGACACAATATGCACTTTCAGAGCCACGTTATTTTTGATTCTATACAGGTGAGCTTTTCTGGCTGAATTGGACTCTCCTCCTCCTGCAAATCCTCCAAATATCACTTTGTTTTCCCCCAAAGGTTATTGATGTTGCACAGGGACCTGCAGCTGAGGTGCTAGGTGTGGCAGAGCTTGGTTCTGGTTTTCATGAGCCGCAAAGTGGCATAGCTGCCCTCGCCAAATCAGGAACTCAATTTTCTTTTTGAGCTGGATGCAATCATCCATGCGGTGGTCGTGGTCCCGATGGTACTCGCAATATTTTGTCGGATCTCTTTTTGCTGGGTCTGCCTTCATCCGGGGTGGCCACCTCAGGAATTTCTCGTTTTGAACTTCATAAAGGATCTAGGACACTGCAGCCGTTAGTAGAGTGAACTACCGAGGTGGGTACCTCAGCTGCAACTCTAATTTCAGAGGACCTAGGTGATCTCTGACATCTCCTCTTTTTTTAAGGGAATGGTCCCTGTCTCTTCTGGGAGACCTATCTTGTCCTATTTCTTTCCTGGGACTTTGATCACTTTCCTTTTCTTCCTTCCCTTTTTCCTTCTGTGAGGATGAGTTCCCCACCTTAGAAAGGAGAGCTTCCTCATCGTTAATATACTTTTCTGCCTTAGCTAGCACCTTGGCCATGCTTACTTTGCGGGTTCTTTGATATGGAAAACATCAAGTCCTTCGATTGTACACCTAAACTAGCAATGAAAGTCGTGATAACGAATTTCTCGTCTGGGACGTTTACCTTTAGGGATTTTGAGTTGAACCTTTAGAAGTAGGATCATAAGTTCTCATTGGGTCCCTGCTTTACATTCAACATGTGGTAACTTTTCTTTCTATAGTTCTGAGCTCTTATAAAGTGGGACACAAAAGATATGGAAAGCTCTTTAAAGGAGAAAATTATCGCCGGTGATAGCCTGTTGAACCATGCCAAGGTTGAGCCCTTTAGTGTGATGACGAAGGCTTGGTAATGTACAGGATCTTGGTACCTATGCAACTCTATATAGTTCTTGTAGGTATTGAGGTACTTCATGAGATCTTTTGTTCTATCAAAAGCATCCATTTGGGGCATTCTAAATTTTAGCAAAAGGGAGAAATGTAGCACATTAACTGTGAATAGAGATTCGGTCTGCTGCACTAGGGCATCCATCGTTACTGGGGTCTTACCCCTCACGGCTTCCTTCATGTGACTAAGTTCTTGTTGGATGTCTTTGAAGCCCTGCTACCAGTACTACTCCCTTCTTTCTAGCTAGAAAGGGGAAAAATCATTTTTCTTAATCCCGTCATTTTGAATTTGTACGTCTTTGTTGTCAACATTCCTAGGAGACAGATGGTGAGCCTATCCCATGGCTTGGCTATTTTCACCCCTTCATTAACTTCCCTAAGGGGGGCGAGTTGTTGACGTTCCCCTTGTGGGGGATCTCTTTGGGCTAGTCGTGCCTACTGAGGACTTTACAAGAGCTTCAAGAGCTCTTCATTTTATTGGAGTAAGCGCTGGTTAACCAGACAAAGTGCCTCCAATTCATTGTTCATAGGGGGATTCGTTGTGGGGGGATTAGTCTCCACGATGGGAGGGAAGTCTTGAAGATTTCCTTATTGCCTCCCACTAGTGTCCTTTTGTTGGCTCTGCATTCATGGGGGATCCATCTGGCTTCTGCTCATGTTGCGTGTGGAGACCATCAATCACTAATAAAAATCAGTGTACTTGTAACAGGAACAATCGTTCCTACAGATGGTGCAAAACTGATGGTGTACGCAACGTGGACGAGCTGAATATATGAATATGCGAATGAGTTCGGGATTGAGCCTCTTGGCTCAAGGGGATTATGCTAAGATTCTTAGGGGAATGTAATGATTCATACAACTGAAGTATAGTGGTTCACCAGATCGAAAGCTCAACTAATCTACTCTTCAATGAAGTCTTTTGCTCCTTGGATCTTTATTAAAGGTCCATTTGACTTATAGAGTTTTTTTTTGATATACCTCCCATCTCTCTCCTTGTACTGGAGGCATTGTATAATATTTATAGTCAAATTCCTAATTCTATGGGATCTGTGACAAGATTCTTGCCTTTCTTCCATGGTGTCTTGCATGATTCTAGGCGACGGTTGTGGTGGTTTGAGGATTTTGCGCCCAGACTGGAGCTTGTTACTGCTGGTAGGATGCCTCGTGTATGCCAGTTGTCCTCCATTTGTCTACTTTAGGATGCAAGCGAAAAGGAGTTTAGGTTTGGACCTCAGAGCTCAGACTCCACGAGCTGAGCTCTCTTACTAACTTCAGTTCCCGAGCTAAGACTTGAGATTTTTCTTGGTATCATTAATAGTTATTTCAAATTGACTTTTATTTAAAAGGAAAATGCTATTTATACCTAATTTAGTAATATTGTAAATTATATTCATTGAATTGATAGTGAGTCTCAACTAATAGTAAGATCCACTATTAATCTAATAACACAAAATAATGTCACCAAACAAGATCACTAAAAAAGGTCTATATAACCTTACTCTTTCTAAAAAGACAGTTTGATTTGTTGCCATTATATCTTCCAAAAGAAAAAAAAATGAATGACAATTGCATTAGGAGAAGAAAGATATGATTTCAATTTTTTGGGTTTGATAAAGGAGAACTACGAATTATTTATTTATTTTGTTATTTTTCACTTGAACTCCCTCCAGAGGACTAGTTGTCAGCTCGTAACCATACAAATACACTAAATCCAACTAGGTCTATATCGGATAGTCTTAGAGTGTGTATGTGTTTATATGAACTTTACAGCCTTTATTTTTTAAAGTATTAGTTGTAATTGTCCTCGCTCAGGACAAAAAAAAGAAAAAAAAAAAGAGAAGAGGCTAGTGCGTAGAATCAACTAAATTCTGCACGAGAGAGGACTGGACTCTGGAGTCAGCGGACCAAAACGACCTTGGAGGCCCCAAAGAATGTACGGGAAACAGCTTGATTGGAGGGGGCAACGTGTAAATCAGTTCTCATTGGCCAACAATGTAAAATAGTCAATAAGTCAAATGATGGAGGGTACAAATGTAATTAAACTATCAAAGTGGGGGCATTTTACTAGACAACTTTACTTCTATAATTAGTCCACCAGTCCAACCAACGATCCACACAGAAAATGGCTCGATCTGTATTGCAGGATGTAAACTCAAAATCTAGGCATATACATGGAGTAGCGGTAGCCGTATCAGTGTTATTCCTGTCTCTCATCACTTCTTCGTTCTCTGAAATCATCTTTGAAGAGCGTTTTGAAGGTAAGCATTTTCAAATTTACCAGTTTCTTACCATTTTCTTTCCATCATGCTACTACATCGTATGAGATATTTCCTTCTAATAACGAACTGTTTGGTTGCGAAGAAAACACTTTGAAATTTCGCCGCCAAACTAATACTAAGGAACTAAATAGCAGTAACTTTCGAGATTTCTTTTCTTAGCTCTCATATGTCCTTTTTTCCAGATGAGGCCACCAGGGTTTGTGTTTTCTTACCTGGTTCACTTACCATGGAATTTTAAAAAATAAAACAAAAAAAATCCTTTTGGCTGTGGACAGCGGGTTGGCTATTACTTGCTGTTTTCTTGGAAAAAATAGAGCTGAGCTCAGCTGTTCAGGTGAACCCTTTGATTGAAAAGCATTGTATGAGAGTTGATTGGTAGTTCCCACCAATTTTTTGATCAAAGTAGTTCCCACCCTTCACTACGTATTTTCAATGGATGAAAATAGAGTCTTTAAATTATTTTATATTTTTCGGGAATAGTGCTGAATCTCAAACAATTTCCAGTCAAGATGAGTTCCCTACACGCTATAAGTAGTACATCCTTTTTTTTTTTTTCTTTTTCCAATGATTAAATATCATAATAATTGCTGTTAGGCACATATTTGCTTGAAAAGTTTCTGCAGGTTGTGTGGTTCTGTTTTGATATTTATCTCATTTTTAGAATATATTAGTGGTTTTTTGATTTTGAGTGTGTGTGGTGTTTCGTGGGGAAAAGATGGCTGGCAGAGCAGGTGGGTCAAATCTGATTGGAAAAAAAGCGAAGGGAAAGCAGGTTCATTCAAGCATACGGCTGGACAGTGGGCTGGGGACCCTGATGATAAAGGTGTGTCTATGGCCTTCTTTTTAATTTTGATTGTTCATTGAATTCAATTTTTTCTAGGTGGAAGTCAATATATTGTGGTACATTATCTTGATATATTGAATTTCTAAAGGGTAATGTAATTGTCAGCTTGCTATGGACTTTGCACATTGAGAAATCAAGTATTTTTAGAAAGTTGAAAGTGAGTGAGTGTTTTATGCCTCTCCAGTCATTTGAAACAAGGTCGTTGGGTTGTAGAACACAATCATTTAAAACTGGTTGGTTGTGTTTTCCATGGACCAGAATGAGTGTGTAAGTCTTGACGAGGTGATAATCTTCTCGCTAGAAGTTTAGCAATGGTGAACTCTGACAATGACATAAGCATGAATTAAAATCAGTATTTATGAAGTTTTGTATTCAGCATCTCAATGCACACCATCTTTTGTTTTGGAAAAGATTATTAGAATCTAGCCAAAAAATGTCGCGGCTTCTAGTTAAATATAGATGGAGCAAAAGGTATCCCCTTCAACAAGAGTAAGTACTTGTCTGTATACCAATAACAAAACATGTTATATACCAATTAGGAGCTTTCCACTGGATTTTTATTTTGACCAATATGTTTTTCGGTGGGGTGGAACTCTAGTATCTTAAAAAAATATGATTCTTTAACTTTTTAAAAAAGAAGAAAATTGTTTGGCCCCTTTATAAATGTAAAGTAGAATGCCAGAGAGGTATAAACACCACGTTTCAGAAGCTTCTGCACTTTTACAGGTATTCAGACATCTGCTGATGCCAAGCACTTTGCAATTTCTGCAAAGATACCGGAATTCATTAACAAGAATAGGACATTGGTCCTACAATATTCTATAAAGTTTGAGCAGGACATTGAATGTGGTGGTGGTTACATAAAGCTTCTCTCTGGGTTTGTTAATCAAAAGAAATTTGGCGGTGACACTCCTTACAGGTTCGTTTCTTACTGCATGATTTTACCTGTATAGATATCATGTGACTCATTCTCCCTTTATCCTTAAGTATGTGGTTCGAATGTTTAATAGTGGAAAAATGGCGTTGCACACTACCGTTCTAGAAGTATGTAATTATGTGTTGGGTTGTCTTTTGTCTTTCCATCTTAATACCATAGTTTAAAGTATTGGTTGACTCGGCACCTTCCAATCCAATATTACGCCACGTTTAGTGCAAACCATGAGGCTCACGCACCGAGTCAGCTGAGACGTCTCATGGTCAACCCAAAGTCATCGGAGTCATTTTTATTGAATCGACTGATTACATTTTGCAATGCCATGGTATGACTTGAATCTTTCATTTTGTTAAATTTCTTATATTGTGTATTTCGTGTGTATTGCCCGATATGATTCCCACTTCCACGATGAGACAACTACTTATTGTTGAACAAATATTTTTTCTTTCTTTAATGATTGTATTAGGGAAATTGTGGTGATCCTATATGGAAGCTTGGGGATGGTTTCTTTACGGTCACTAGTGGGATTATTATTCATCTTGTGGAATGGTCCTAGAGGGGGGAAATAGAGCTACCATAAATTCTTGTTAATTTCTTCTTAGCACAAGTCCTGGAGGTCATTATTTCACTAGTTACCTAACCATGAGCATATTGGCCTTTTTATGCTTTTCAATTCACTCTTTGTATTCATTTCACAGTAGAACGTCAAAAAATATAGAAGGGTGCACAAGATATCAAAAATAAAGAGAAAATAGGAAAGAGGGAATGCACAATAATCTATGGATTACATAAAAGATGCTAAAGACCAAAACGATGCTAAAAGTGGATGACATCCCATAAATCTTCCACCAACTGACATTGGTCTTCAAATAATCTACCAGGCCTTTCCTTCCAAATGACCCAAACATTAGCATAGGTTGCACAATTCCATAGATTCACCCATTTATTATGTCTCCCAAAACATCCTAGTTCCTCTACAAACAAAAAAGAAGATGACCTAAGAATCCCTTTGCTCAACCTGCCAATTTAAATGATTTGTATCATAAGGACAATGCAATAGGGTAACACAACGATTCATTTGCCGATGCTTTTGCTGTAACAATTACACATCACCCACCTTTGAGGAGAAGACAAGTTTGAGGTCTTATCAGCTACTATTATATTTTGTGATAACTTCCAACGATTTTCGATAACTTTAGGGCTTCAAATTTGTATAGCTCTGATATCAAGTTAAATTATGAAGTTTTAGGGTTTAGGGAAGTGAAAGAAGAAAGAATACGACGAGAGATCAAATTATTGTGTAGAGTTATGTGTTAAATCACGCAACTAATCCCCAGCTTATATATAAACTACAAAGTACCATAATATCCTTAATGTAAATATAAAGCATAACATAACAATCACAAAATATTGAAAACTAGAAATATTTTTAGTTCTTGTAGGACCCCAAATATTTGAGTAAACAATATCAAAAGGACTAGACTAATGACTTCTATTACTATTAGAAAAATAATTACGGTGATGCTTGCCCAATTGACAAGCGTCACATTCTAATATCAAAGAAGGACTTGAACTAGAGATAACATGATGAACATCTACAATAAAGGGTGACCCAAACGAAAATGCCATTGACACGAAGATACGGTGGCATTCAAGGCAGGTATTGAATCCCTCAAAGTCAAATAATAAAGATCATATTGCTCATGTCCCGAACCAATCACTTTTTTTATTTGGAGGCCCTGAAAAACACAAGAAGACGGTGAAAATGTGACTTAACATTGTAAATATTTTGTCAATTGACTCACAGACAATAAGTTAAAAAAAATGAGGAATAAATAAACCAAATTTTAAAGGCATCCTGAGTGGGGTGAAGATCACTAGTCCCATGCCCTAGTCGAAATGAATCATCAACCAAGACAATATGGGAGTTAGAAGAGTGAAAATTAAAAAACATAGAGAAAATACCAAACATATGAGCACTAGAGACCTGTTACGTGCAAAATTACCGGTAGTGCCTAAATAGGTAGTGGAAGGAGACTGATGGGGACAAATTGAAGACAATTGTTGAACATCATGAGAACTTGATGTAGCATGCCCATTAGCCGCTAGATTAGATATAGGAGGAGTAGGGTCATTAGATACCTGATTGGCATAGGCTAGTCGCCATGTTTATCACAACAATTATCTTCAGTATGTCCAAAATCTCCACAATAAGAACATTTCTACTCCGAACGGTTTCCATGCCCACCACGACTAGTGTCTTTATTGACCACCACCACGACCACTAATATGACCACTTGCACGACTATTATCACTAGAGAATAAGGCAGATGGGGAAGAGGCTCCTTAGATTAGAGATGCTCTTTGCAGACTGGAATGGGCATTGACTATAGTTGGAAGTTTCTCACTAGCCAAAATTTGACCTTTCAATATACCATATTTAGAATCAAGTTTGGACAAGAGTAAGGCAAGTTGAGACTTTTTACGCTGACAGCACTATATCTCTAGATTTGCACTCAATAGCTGATAAAGTAGAAGTTCCTCCTATAGCTCCCTCAAGGTGCCATAATTTCGAGTCAGAGACTTATTCCCTTGTTTGGTATTAAATAGTCGCTCAAAGATTTCATAGATCTGGCACACATTTTGTTTTTGTGAGTACATCTCCTCAAGTGAGATGATCGTAAGTTATCACCAAGGAATTCTTGCTCTACCAATCTTCAAAATTTTTGGACGTCTTTGGGGGGAGGACTCTTAATAAGATACTTGACTTTCCGTTCCGTTTAGCACATAAGAAACCTTAATTGCATGGGCCCAAGAATAATAATTATGTCCATTCAATTTGGCAGAAGTGATTTGTCGAATGTCATTGTCCATGGAATGAACATATGCAACGTGATCAGAACCAGAAGTATCCTTGACCTCCTCTAAAGTCGCCATAGTAAAATCCACAACCAAATAGGTGATAATAAACAATTAGAGAACCAATACTCTGCAAACGACCACAACCACACAAAATAACTACAAGAAAGTCAAGGAAGCTGCCCGGAATAGTCCAAATTCACGCCTATATTCAAGTCACAACAAAATATTGAACCAAATTACACACCCAGCCCTCAATTGCCACCACAAAAGCGAATAAACAACAAAAAGAAACAGACCAAAGTATACCGAACACAGTTCAGCGTGAATAGTACTGCCACCGTTAGGGTGCTCCAAGAAAATCACCTCCACCTCCACGAATTCAGCTGGGCACCTCAGACGAATTCAGCTGGGCACCTCAGGGCTTCATGGAATACACAACCAGCAAACAAAGAAATCCAGAAAAGGCCATGAAGATCATCATGCGTACTGTTCCGGTGGCTGGAACAGTGTCGACTGTCAAAAAATTCCAAAAATAGGTTCAAAAGTCACCACATCAGGCAGGGTTTCTCACAAATCTCCTCCTGAGTGCTATTCGGACTCCTCATGTAAGAATCCAAGCAACAAACCAAAGCAAAATGGCCAGAATTAACAGATCTAAAAATTTGACCCCTTTTTTTCGAAAATCATCCAAAAATAGGAAATCCCTCTCCAGATGGCCGCAAAAAATTAAACAAACGACCATAATTACTGGCACCAAAAAACAAGTCGGATGGTAGTTTCCTGGTGCCGGAGGTTGCTGATGTTGGCCACTAGCTATGATGTCAGCGGCAGGAAAATTTTGCAACCATTGATCTAAATATTTTGTCCCAAATTTTGACTCTAGTACAAAGTTGAAATAGCAAAAACATATATTAGACACACTGTCATTGTTCACACATCACAAGAGAAAGAGAAGAGGCAAAGTATGTAATGAATAATCTGATTATGTATGTAGGCTGTGTTGCCCTACATCTCCTTCTTTATAAGTTGATATTGTGGGTAATTACAATATTACCCTACACTACAAAAATATAAAGCAATAAGAACTCTAACAATTAAAAGACTATCTATTCTTTTGTATATTTCTTTTAAGTGATGGGATATTATTCCATATACAAGGCTGCTTTTGATTTTCATTTTCATAGGAGTAGCTTTAGTTCATTGTATTATTTTTGGATGCGATGAAATTCTGATGAATTACTGTATATACATGCTAGTTGTCTTGGTCTGCACGTGAATCTGGATACTAGTAGGAATGTATCTGTACACATGGCATACTACAATAGAGAAACTAGCACCTCCATGCATGTTCCGGTTTGGCCCAATTTTGGAACAACCACATCAGACAGATGCGTAAGACAAAATTTCAGCTTTGGCCTGATTTGCTGGCATTTGGTCCATTTGACATTTTAGAACCTAAACTTAGAGCTGGATTATTTTGTTGATCGGATTGTCAAATCATCCCTGTGTAAGAAACATCAATACAAACTAATAAACCCCTCTCCTTCCGTTTTAGTGATTTGCAATTTTTTTGGGCAAATTCTCAGTCTAGACATACAAAGGGTACATTGTTCTTGCCTAGAATCCTTTTCATGCGCCTTTTGTGATGGCTTGATTGTATTTGTCAAATTACTTCAAATTCTATTCTAAGTTATATGTCCCTTTTAACTGTTGTAAAGGATAGTTTTGTGTTAACTAATATTTTGGCTATGTAGTTTGATGTTTGGACCAGATCTCTGTGGCACACAGACAAAGAAGCTGCATGTTATTCTTTCCTATCAGGGCCAGAATTACCCTATCAAGAAGGATCTGCAATGCGAAACGGACAAGTTAACCCACTTCTACACATTTATTCTCAGGCCTGATGCAACATATAGTGTTCTGATTGATGGTCGAGAAAGAGATTCTGGAAGCATGTATACAGACTGGGATATTCTTCCGCCCCGCAAAATTAAAGATGTGAATGCAAAAAAGGTTATCTTAAGCTTTGAAACTATATAGCAATATAGTTGAGGACTAGTTTAATGCAATTACTCATCAATTTCTTGGTGTTCTCAATAATCTTGGCTTGCAAATGTGATTTGGGTGAACTTAACACTATAACTCGTTTACATTCTCTACCAGCCTTACTTAAATCCTATTGGGGTATATCCTATTAATCAATTGTGAATATTAGTCTTGTTGGTATTGCTTTTTTGCACCTTTTATTTAAAGTTTTCAATTGGTTTGATTCACAGCCTGCAGATTGGGATGATAGAGAATATATTGATGATCCAAACACCAACAAACCTGAGGTCTTGCATTTTTGTAGTTTTTAATGTTTTTTGTATATTTTTGTTTTCGTAATTTTTTGGGCATCCATTTTATACTCCTTTATTATATATTGGCATTTCAGGGATATGATTCAATTCCACGAGAAATTCCTGACCCAAAAGCTAAGCAGGTTGGTTAAGTTATAAGTGAAGCCATATGCTCTAACCTCCACAAAGAAGTCATGTAATGTGGATTCCGCCAGGCTTCTTGTTATCAAACAGTCATGAATACTTTTAGTATGTGGGTTATGCTCCAGATAGTTTTTTTTTACCTTCCTTCCATCTCTCATTGTGTTTTAGTTTTCTTTCATTTGATTTATGCAAGGTTTCTGGTTATATTTTTTGTAAGTTTCCATGCGACACCTGAAACTTAACTGTCCAAAAATCTTCTCTATCTCTCTCTCTCTCTTGCTGTGGTGGTGATTGCATTGGTAGTACTGCTCTTTCTGATAGCATTTGCAAAAAGGAAAAGGGTACTTACAAGTTACATCTCCTTTATTATTTCTCTCTGATTAGCCTGATAATTGGGATGAAGACGAGGATGGTATATGGAAACCACCAAGGATTCCTAATCCAGCATACAAAGGACCATGGAAGCGCAAGGTACAAAAATTGTATCCAATGTCTAACAGGAAAAGCTCGAAGCCTTGTTCATAATGCAAATTCTGATCAGGGAATGTCTTCTGATTCAACAGAAAGTGAAAAATCCTAACTATAAGGGGAAGTGGAAGATTCCTTGGATTGATAACCCAGGTATACACTGAACATGTGTGTAAAAATATGGTGTTTTGGTGTGTTTCACTATGCATTTAGTCTTCCTTGCTTTTGCCTTCAGAATTTGAAGATGATCCTGACCTTTATGTGCTGAAGCCAATTAAATATGTTGGCATTGAGGTTTGGCAGGTAAGATGTTAGTCTTGCATGCTGAGTTTAAAAATTCCTTAGTTTATGAGGTGAGCATAGAATTTAATTTTTTCTAATGATTGGAAGTATTATTTTTGTCCTGGGACTGCAGGTGAAGGCAGGTTCTGTTTATGACAACATTCTGATTTGTGACGAGCCAGAGTATGCAAAACAAGTTGTGGAGGAAGTTTTCACAAATAGGGAGGTGTGCCCCCGCTCCTCTATTATTTCTGGTGGTTGTTGGCCCAACAACTGTTTAATTGTCTTTCTCTCTTTCATTTTTGTTGTTCTTTTGATGTTCAGGCTGAGAAAGAGGCCTTTGAGGAAGCAGAGAAATTGAGAAAAGCAAAAGAGGAAGAGGTTGTTGGTCAGAGCTATTGCTTATTTCATTTAATTAGTATTGTGTGAGATGAGAGGTTCTGAGTGGTTTGAGGTGCCATTATTGCAGGAAGCCCAACGAGCCAGAGAGGAAGGCGAAAGGAGGAGAAGAGAGAGAGGCTATGATCGGCGGAGGGATCGATATAGAGACAGATACAGAAGGGTTGGTATCTCTTTTGCTAGAAACTCTATCTTTTAGTCTCATTCTTGGCTTTTTTTTTTTTTAAGGAAACACAATTTTAGTAAAAGGTAAATGAAGTAGAACAAGATGAACACATGGTGGACAAGTCCATGCTGAATCTAAGTTCTGGTCACCTTTTAATTAGACTTACAGTGGATTGAGTAGGTCCTTCATTTTATCCACTTAAAATTTTGTCCTTTCCTCTCTTGTAAATGGTAAACAGAATAATGCCTTTGCATATTATATATACTAGAAATTGTCTGTGTCTAAATTCACTATATAACAAAAGAAAAAAAAATTGCCAATCAATGAGCCAACTATTATTTTTTTTTAAAAAGGACAGATTTTTTTCTATAACAAAACCCTTAAACAATATTAACTTGTGTACACAACTTACACATTCAAATGTGAAATGCTTATAATGTGCAATGCTTAATCAATTCTATAGAAAAATAATAAAGCAAAAAAAACTCTGATCAACTCTATAGCAAATGAACAGAAAAACTTCAACTCAGTCAACTCTACAACAAAAATGAATTGCTGAAAAGAAATCTTGACAAGAACAACTTCAACTCCAATCACAGAGGGATTCATATGTCACTAGTACCGTTGCTGGTGGCGTTGTGGTATGGTGTCCGGGTGGTGGCGTCATTGTAGGTGGCTGGCTGATGGCGTCGGGGAGTTAGATGAGAGAGAAGAGGGAGATGAGATCAAGGACAGGAGAGAGGGAACGCTGAGAGAGAACATCCAGTGGTTGAGGCAGTGTCAGTGGGGTGTGGGTTCTACTGATTACCTTCAGTGGGGGTGGAGGTGGAAGCTTTGGATAGAAAGGTTACACTTACGGTGGTGGGTTTGGGATTAGGGCACAGAGGGGGAGTGAGAGTGAGGAGATTAGGGGCATGAGAGAGGGTCAGGGAGAGGAGTAAACATGTAGAGGCGGGTATGTAGTTCGGGAAGAAGAGGGGGTCAAATGCTTGAATTTGGGAAAGTTAGAGGTATGAATGTGGGAATCATAAATGGAAACTTTTGGGCGGGAAGACAAAATTTAGGTGTGAATCTGGTGCATCGAATCAATAATTTTGAAGTAATTTGATACACGAAAAGCTCGAGATAACGTCGTTCGTAAGATTTAATCTTTTTCATCCCAGCCGCGAAAAGTTTGAGAATTGAAAATGCGCTCTATTTTTTATTCTATAGATAATCAATTGATGGCTATTTTTTGAGTTGTGGTCTTTTGCTTGAATTGTTGATTTCACTTGCATGATTATTTTATGAACGTTGTGAACATAAACTTTCAATCAAGATAACATTCTGCAATGGAAAATTGTTATTGCTTTGGTAGTCTGGCGTTCTATAATGATTCTCTTTTCTTTCAAATGTATGGAGATTAATTTCTATCCTGGATGCTTTGTTTTGCAGCATGACCGCCGTGATTACATGGACGATTATCATGTAAGCATGAACAAGCACTTAGTTATCTTTTTTTATGGCTATTATGCGACATGCATTGTGACCAACCTTCTTTTTATGTGGGAGATCCCAAACTCCCAAAATATGTGCAAACTTCAATCATGAAACAAATAATTTGATTTATAAAATATGGATATAGTTTGCAGTATTCCTGATGTGTTCTCAAAGTTGTTAATAACACAAAACACAGTTGAAAATCCAGAAACCACTTTTAGGAACCGAGTCAAAAGGTCTAGTTTTCCTATATATCCTAAATATCTTCTTTTTATCATTTTACTTCGAGTCAAACACCATTGTGATATCATAATTATACGGTTGAGATTTTTAAATCTTGATAGCTCTAAAATCCTAGTAGTTTTCAGAAGCTATTTTGATGGTGGACTTGCATCATGAAAAAACATTGGGTTAAGTAGTAAACTGGCGAAGTGAGAAGGATAGTTGAAATCTCATGTTAAAGTTTTGGAGTTTAGAATTTAAAGTAGGCAAGGAAGGAGAGAATAAAGAGGTTAGGGTTAAGGAGAAGGAGAGTTAACCTACCTCTCCTCTCATCACACATATTTATATTACTCATTATAAACTGAAGATTACAATAATACTCTTAATTAAAATAATCTTGCGTATTATTTTTCTATAAGTGCATTCATCTCTTCACATATTGTTTACTTTCACTTGGAATCATTCAATGCATCATGTAAATTATTAGGAACAAACACAAAGGACAACTGTAATGCAAAAGCTCGATAAGAGGGTGATAGGTGATGTAAAGATACAAAATTAGATATGAGATATTGAGAACAAGTTCGAACACCTTTTGAAAAGCAATGAGAATATCAAACTTAAACTCAAGAGCAGGATTACCTGATCCCAAGAAAGTCGTTTGGCAATGTTCTTATCCTTTTGTCTTCTTAAATAAAGCTGTAATTTTTGTTGTTGTTGTTGTTGTTGTTGTTCCTCATTATTTTTATGTCCTTGTTCCAATAAAAAGAAATGCACCGATGAGACAAATAGGAGCACAAGTTTTTTATCCGAAGGAAGATGAAAATATTTCTAGCTCTTCTGTGTTTGAGAATAACAAAGAAAGATGCATTTAGTTGTTTTAGGAGCTAACTTACTTTGGAGTCGAGGAGGAACATTGTTAAGTGTAGAAGATTAATATTAGGGAGAAACAGAGAGAGGTTAAAACTTAATCTAGCTCTCATACATCACTTGTATTTACAGTTAACTCACAATAATAAGAATTACACATACACTCTCTTGTATTTACACATAATACCATAACACTATTAACAATTTACATATACTATCCTAATTCTCTTAGCATTTTTCCTCAAGCTGGACTATATATATCATAATCCAAGCTTGGAACAAATCATTATAAGACGTGTACGACTTAATGCTTTGGTAAATATGTCTGCAAGTTGATCTTCATATTTCACAAATGGAGTCATAATCTCCCCTATTACTATCTTGTCCCGAATAAAATGACAATCAACCTTAATATGTTTGGTTCTCTTGTGAAACACTGGATTGATAGCAATATGGATAGCTGCCTGGTTGTCACAAAACAACTGAAAAGGAGGTTGAATTGAAAACTGAATTTTCTAGAGAAAGTGTAACAGCCAAGTCAACTCACTCGTCGTATACGCCGTTACCCTATATTCAGCCTCAGTACTGGATCTTGCTACCACATATTACTTCTTACTTTTCCATGAGACAACGTTACCTCCTAAGAAAGTACAATAACTAGTGGTTGATTTTCGATTAGAAGGAAAGTCAACTCAATCAGCATCTGAGAAATTTTTCGCTCTAAGCTGTCCATTAGCTCGATATAATAGTCCAAGTCCACGAGTTCGTTTGAGATATCGTAGAATACGAGTAACAGCCTCCTAATGTGGTACATGAGGACACCCCATGAACTGACTTACTATACTGACTACACAGAAAATATCTGGTCAAGTAATAGTGAGATAATTAAGCTTCCCAGCCAATCTGCGATACCGACCCGAATTCTCAAACAGTGCACCATCATCCATCTATAGTTTTTGATTTGGATCAATAGGAATATTAATCGGTCTACCACCTAGCAAACCTGCTTTCTTAGCATGTTAAGTATATATTTTCTCTGTGATAAACAAATACCCTATTTAGATCGTGCTATTTTAATTCCTAAGAAATACCTGAGTTTTCTCAAATCTTTAGTATGAAATCGATCTTGCAAGAAAATTTTTAACTTGTAATTTTTTCACAATCATTTCTAGTAATCACAATATCATCAACATAAATTACCAATAGAACATATCCAACATTCGTTTGTCTATGAAACACAGAATGGTCTATCTGACATCGAAGAAGACTAAATTCTGAAATTGCATTTAAAAATTTACCAAACCATATCCTCGGTGACTACTTCAAATCATACAAGGATTTCTTTAAACGACATACACTGTTATCATACTCTCTTTGGGCAATAAACTCAGGTGGTTGCTCCATGTATACTTCTTCAACCGAGTCACCATGTAGAAAGACATTATTGACGTCTAACTAAAATATGGGCCAATCAAGATTAGCAGTCAAAGAAATCAAGATACGAACAAAGAAAATTTTGGCAACAGGAGAGAAAGTCTCTTAATAATCAACACCATAGGTCTGAGTAAAGTCCTTTGCAACAAGTCGGGTTTTGAGATGCTCTACAGAACTATCCGGATGAAATTTAACAGTTTGCACCCAATAACAATTAACAGTTCGTTTACCAAGAGGTAAAGGAACGAGATCTCAAATGCCATTATGATGTAAGACATCCATCTCAGCCTCCATAGCTTTCCTCTAATCCAGATCAGATAATGCATCTTGTAAATGCTTAAGAATAGATATATAGTAGATAATTGAGAGATAAAGCAAGAGAAGATTGGAGACAAGGTATCATATGAAATAAAATGAGCAATGGTATGATTAGTAACACACGAACGAGTTCCTTTTCGAAGAGCAATAGGTAAAGAGTCTAAATTACCTGAAGGACTAGGATCAAAAGGCGGCAAGGAAGACAGTACGGGCACCTCAGTTGATGGTCGAGGACGACGACAGTATACACGAAGAGGTAAAGTATATGATAACACAACAGACAACGAAATATCTGAAGATGTGGGAAGAGATGGTGGTACAAGAGATAACCCAAAGTGCAGATCCAAAGGCTGAGAAGGTGCTCGAAAATATGGAACAGATTCCTCAAACGTGACATCGACACTAGTGAAGTATCGTCGCAGAGAAGGACTGTAGCAACGATACCTCTTCTGTGTGCACGAATAATCAAGAAATACACATTTGGTAGCTCGAGGGTTAAGTTTATCAAACCCGGGACTCAAATTGTGAACATAACAGACACATTCAAAAATCTTAAGAGTGAGGAAAAATAAGGACTTATCAGAAAAAAAGATAGAATATGGACTTCGCCCATTTAACACGGAGGATGACATATGATTAATAAGGTGACAAGCAATAAGAACAACATTACTCCAAAAATATCGGGGAATATGCATCTGAAATAATAGGGCACGGGTGACTTCTAACAAATGATGGTTCTTGCGTTCAACAACACTGTTCTGTGGAGAGATGTAAGCACAGGAAGTCTGATGAATAATGCCTGTTTTACTAAGGTAAGCTAAAAAAAAATCAGATTCATATTTTCGAGCATTATCGTAACGTAAAATACGTATACGACAATTATATTGAGTTTTTATTTTCTTACGAAAGGTCTCAAATATAGAGAATAATTTAGACCGAGCTATCATAAAAAACAACCAAGTCACACAAGAATAATCATCGACAAATGTCACAAAATAAGGATATTTATTAGATCAAATATTCTTTATTGGATTCCATACATAAGAATGTACCAACTCAAATAGACTAGACATACGGTTATTGACTCTAAATTGAAATGACACACGGTGATTCTTACTAAGTTGACAAGCTTCACAAGACAAAAATGACACATAACTCAGACTGGGAACATGACGCTTCAGATTCTGGAGAGAGGGATGACCAAGACGACAATGCCATTGAAAAGGAGACAACGAGGTCTATAGAGCCCGAGTAGGTGAATCAAAATCAAAGTAATATAGACCATCAGTTTCATGCCCCGTACCAATCTTCCTCTTCGTCTTGAGATTCTGAAAGACACAATAAGAGGGATAAAAGGTTACAGAACAATTGAGAGAACGAGCTTACTAATAAAAAGTAAACTAAAAGGAAATTGAGAAACGAATAACACGGAAGATAGAGACATATTAGGACTCAAGTGAGTAGTCCCAAGACCTTAAATTTAGAACAAGTACCATTAGCAAGAGTAACACTACGTGTAGAAGTAGCAGATTGATAAGTACAAAAAATATCAGATGTACCAGTCATGTGGTCAGAGGCGCCAAAGTCTATGATCCAAGGACTGCGAGTGGAGGACAGTAAACAAGTGGAAGCAGTACCCTGACTGGACAAAAGTAGTAGTGGAGGGAGATGGAACAACCTATTGCTGGGACAGAAATTGAGTATACTCCTTTTGTGTAATAGAAACCAATCTAGTGTTTGGTGGAGCTGACCGAGGTATGAAAGCAACAACAGAGGTGTCTTCTTGATAGGAAACCTAATTCGCTGTACCAAAAGGTTTTTCATGTAAATTCCAACATAAATTAACAGTGTGCCCTCCACGTCCACAATGAATACAGGAACGAGGTCCACTATAGCCCCCACGATCACCCGTACGACTTCCTGTATGACCTCCACGACTACCACGACCATCTTGATGACCATCATTATGGCTATTAGGAACCACAAGAGCTGAGCGATCAGTGAAAGCACCATGATTGATACCTGAAGTAGACAAAGTAGCACGTTGGATACAAGAGAAAACCTCTAGTAGGAAAGACTAGAACCACCCAAAATCTGAGAACGAATAGCCTCATATTCAGGTTTCAATCCCTACAAAAAACCTAACAATATTCATGTTCTCATGTTGTTCTGCCATGTTGCATCAGTAGTAAACGGATGGTAGGTCTTTATCTCCTCACAGACTCCCCAAACGTAAGAGTAATAATCCTCAATACTCAGAGTACTCTGTTCCAGCTAGAAGTACTTTTTGCACACCGCATAAGCTCGGGTAAAATTACTTGTACCAGAATACATAGTGGTCAAGTGATCCTATATCTCATTGACAGTGTCAAGGTAGAGCAGAGTAGAATTAATACTAGGCTCATTGTTATTCAATAGTAAAGAAATAAATTGAGCGTCCTCTTGTTCTCACTGATCTTACCTAGGAGTGCCTTCCTTGGGTTTAGGACTCATCAAAAATTTATTAAATCCTTTGCCTCGAAGAAAGATTTGAACAAATCAGGACCATAAAGTATAATTAGTTCCATTGAGTTTGACAGAGGTCATGGGACCATTGACATGAGTCGGAGGAGGCAAAGATAGAGTAAGGGAACTGGTATCTTGCTTAGGTTCCATAATAGTGTAGCAAATAGCAAACAAGAAGTGTTGTAATGCTGAACCAGAGAA